AAGTCTTACATACAAAAAGATGGAGTGTGGGTCCGCATGGACCCGATAACAACCATGGTGTTATATTTACGATTTCCAGTCGTGTTAGAGCCGCCCTCTGTCGTTGTCACAGTTTATTTTCTATGTACAATGACAATTTCAGTCCAGTTTTTAAATAGCTGACTTTTAATGATTCGCTCATTCGACCGTCTATAACCTCAAATAATTCCATCATGTCGTTGTAATAGTGCATGGCAGTCTCATCTAAGCCTTGACGACGCTGCCCTCGTTGACTAATGGCTACTTCTTTTGCAAACGTCGATGAGTACGTTTTCTCAATTGCTTCATTGAATTCTGGCCATGTCTCTAATGTTCTCATGTTATTGGTGAACCATTTTCTTGCATCATCAACCAAATATGTTTGAATAATCCAGAACACAAAAAACATACCAAAAAAATTACTACTGATAACATCGAGTCGATTGCACAACTTCAATCATTGTACAGAATATAGACACAGAACGGTGAATTTAGTTTTGTAGTAGTTTACTACAAAGCTAAGTTCACATGTTCGAATCTCTATTCGTACAAAATTGATTTTGTGTTTTTCGATAGTTTTAGTTTAGAATACTATAATGGAATATTTTCTGCTTGTATTCTGACAGAATAAAGCTTATATCAACAATAAATACTTCGGTCGCTTGAGTTTGGGTTGTATGTTCGATTTCGATATCGCGGAATCGATTCAGTTCTTCCAAATATAGCTGCCGGTTTTGATCGTCAAGTAATTGTTGCTGTGCTCTTGTTACTACCATACAGTTAAATCACTTACTTGTATTTTCCCGGCTAGTGCACTAATATTAGGTTCCCGGGTAAACTAAGATCTTTCTCACGTAACTTTTATTTACAAATAAGAAAAGATATCTCATAACAATAAACTCGATCTATTTATACTCGCAATGTTGCGCATCCCTTGACTAGACTGTACGCAATATTGAACGACTAAAATGAAATGTTGATAATTTTGAATTTGGTACACGTGATGTTAAATACATTCGAAAATTTGGATCAAGATCAATTTCTTTATCACGTAATTTAATAAATAAATTTTTTTGATTATCTTGAATATTTTTTGATAAAATATTTAATATAATTGGATTAATATATTCATCATTATCTTTAAATAATACAGGATAACCATATTTTATTGCTAATTCAATATGTTTTAAAAAATCTCTATCACGCATTGATAATATTTTTAAATTTGATTTTGATTCCATTGCTTTAATCCATCTTAGGCCTTGCATTTGTGGATCAATACAATAGGGAAAACGTGATGCTTGAATTGTTAATATTTCATTTTGTACACTAAATTCATCAGATGGTAATCTATATGATTGATATTCACTTATTTCAACATCAGATGATAACAAATTTTGTACACGATATGGTTGTGATAATGGAATATTTTTTTCTAATAAATGTACTTCTCATTGATTATGTAATAATTCTTCATGAATTTCGAATGTAAATGGTCCCAAATAGGCTAAAAATCCGGCACCTAATAAACAATTACCTAATAATTGATTTTCAGGATTTTTCATATTGTTCAATTCTTGACGCCATCGAATAGTTTCACTACGAAAACCGGTCATTAATTTCTGCTGTTCGACGACGTTCGGCTATATCTGTTTCTTCCTGGAATATACAAGATACGTTTAATTCAATTAGAAAAATATTTTTTAACTATTATTCAACTCAAAGTAGAAAGTGTATTCGATTGTTCTGCGAATATCAAATGAAAAGTGATTGAAATTTGTCGACATTTTACTATACTTTTGGGACTATATGCCTATGACATTTTCCGTAAAAAATTCCTGTCTGACGTTTAAAATAAACATCAAACTATGTAAGAATTTTCTAGGTAAGTGAAATTTCATGTTAAAAACAGCGAATCCTTCTAAAATGTAAAGACCGCTAAAACTAGCGGTGAATTTCATGAATTGACACACTAATTTTGAAAAATATATTGAATCATCTTTTCCTTTAGATATTCGTTCACAAAGATCGATACTAAAAGAATTTTAAGTTTTCGTATCGAAATTGATATCTCTTATCACTAGGATAACTAAAATAGCACGGTAAATGAATTCACTTACGATACACACATTAAGACATAAAGTTGTATCGCGACGAAAAATGCCTTATTTGAGATATCGTCGCACATTTTAGGCAGCAAGACACGACTTAAAAGATCTATTTTGTTACAGTGTAGTTTTTTGCTAATATTCGGGCGAAGATTTAATACTATTTTCTCAGTAATATATGTCTAGAAATATTATGTCCTCTACCTGTAGTTTCATTTTATCGTCCATTTCAGTATCAAAACGCAGTTTAGATTGTTCTAATGTTATCGTTAATTTTTCTATACTTGTTTCTAAACGTTGTAATTCATTAACATTTGTTTCATAATCACGTAAAATAGCAGCGACACGATCTTTCTTTGGCTTTGTTTCACGATAACGATCTATAAAAGAAAACCAAATGATGACGAATGCAAAAATTACATACAAAATACAATTGAAATATTTTATTTTTGCTTTTTGCAAAGTTTTATTATGACTGGAATGACTATAAATGGTGACGTATGTTTTGAATATTTGATGTACAACATCAGTTAATTCCACAAAAAATTGATCAAAGCCCCATCTGTGTGTACTTGTCAGAATAGTTGTCTACTGCGTACGTATATTTTAGGAGACCAGCACCAGCTTTGCTCACACTGCCCATTTTTATACACATTTCTTCATGTTTTTGTTTTATTGTATCTGTAATTATTAAATGATTAACGTCTAATTTGTCTTCTAATCGTTTTAAAAATGATTTTAATAAGTTTGCTTGACGAATGGTAAACATATCTGGATCTCTATTTTTTAATTTATTAATAAAATCAATATCAATCATCACTGCCTTTACCTAACCAAACAAACAAAAATATACGTACATTAATTAATTAACAAAACTCACATTTTCCCACGTTATTTTAGTGTGTCCCAAATAAACTAGTATACAAAAACCAATAAGTTGAATAATTTTTGTTGGATTTGCAAATGATCTCATTTCAGTTATATCACCAGGTTTCAAACTATTTAAACCTTCTTGAGCTCCTAATAATATTGGCATAGATCGTTCCAAAATTTCTTCAGGGTCCCCTTTTTCCTTCTCAATAATAATCAGTTGCTCATCAACCGTTTGCTTCTTTTCAAGTGCTTGATTTTTCTTTCCGCTTGTTTTGATGTTAATAATGTTATTTCTTGTAACAATTCATCACATTTTTTTGTTTTAATTGCTAAATGAAGGAAACAAATACAAAAGATAAACAGAGTTGAATAGGATGAGGTAGTAATGATCAGGTTTTTCTATTTTTATAATTTGTATAAAATAGTTAAACTATTTTTAATCATGATAAAACGCTATTTCAAGATAGACAGATGGATCTGACTTTCAGTTATCAATGTTCGTTAAAAGGCATTGATATATTAGAAGATGTATCCCACATAGAATGCCCCACATTATGCGAAAGTTGAAATACAAGATCTTCCCTTTTTTAGGAAAAAACATTAGTCATATTTCTGATAAAATGATATTTCGATTAAGACATCAATATGTCTATATGAAGATATATCTACATATATATAAAGGACAAAGGATCATTTTATTCAGAGCTTATGGCAAGTGTTTTCTTTATTTATACTATACAACACGGTTGTTATATGCAAAAAAATTGAAAAATTGCTGAGGAGTGTGAATTTTTCTAGTACACATTGCAACACCTCTCACTGGTTTAAAATCTCTAGAATTCAGGACAAAGTAGAATATTTGCTCGTTGACCTTTAGTATCCTCTTTACAGCCACATAATATGCAGTTCGCTACCATGAACTAATCATAATTATCCCATTTGAAGTAAATATGATCAATCCTACCAAAAACAGCTGTTATGAATTTAAACAACAGTGACCGTTCATTTTTTTTTCTGTTCAAAGGTAGTTAATATTGTAGAGAATTTTTGTGTTTTATCTAACATGAGAATTGCCAGTTATACGAACTTATCATTAGTTAGTTAATTAAATATTATTGAAATCAAAACACACAACTCGTACATATCATTTGCGGTAATCATGGGCACTCCGTACAACTCACAAGGAATAGAGAAAACAATCTTTATCGGTTCAAAGTGAATGCTTGCTTCACACCAAGTAGTGATAAATCTTCGAAATCCGCTCTATGAACAAGTCAATTCATTAAATCTTCTTTGCTGCATAACTGAAAGACTAATACTGCAAGAAAAAGCAGATTTTAATGTTAAGCTTACTGTATTTTAATCATAATGCAAAGAAGATAGAATGAATCGACTTGATCATAGAGCGAATTTCGAAGAGCATCCTTTCAGCTACAAAGTAAGACGTTCCTTAGATTTGTAGCGCGTTCTTGTTTAATACTACAATACAAACAAAAAGAGCAGAAACGGTATTGCACTCACACTCCGTTACGCGATTTAATCGTAGTAATGTTTCTCAGTTTCGTGTAATCTATAACATACGTCAAAATCGCAGAAAAAGTCGAGAAAATAACCGAGTTCTGGCAGTTAAATCATTTGTTAGCGTTCGAAGTACTGTTTAATTCATTTTTTATTGATCAAGTTTCTAGAGTAATGAAGTGATGAGGACAAAGTTGAATGAATCATTCCTCTTGGACACAATGAAAAATTAATTATTTAAGAACAATTAAATTCTTTTTAGATTGATCAATGTTTTTAACTTCAAAATAAGACATCATACATCCGTATTACAAGTTGTCGAAATGAGATTTTCACAATACAGTAAATAAGAAACAGATTTACACAAAAAAGCAGAATCAAAAACTTGTGATGATCAATTAGTCTGTCTCAATACGGTAGACAGTAATTGAAAACTTAACAATATGACTTAGCCGCCAGAAGAGTCGATCGGGATCTTTTTTATGCGATAGATTCCGAGATCTACCTATCTGGGCACCAACGTTTTTTCGATTAAAAATAGTGTAAAGGAAAATACCACAAAAATATAAAAACTTGGTTACAAACTAATCCATTCAACTCTAGAAGAACGTTCAACAGCAATAGAAAATGAATTTGAAACAACAGACGACTCAAAGATGTCAGAACATTCTTAAAAGACTAAATTAATTCTAACACTCTTCTTGACTATAGCAGTACCAGTCTGTATTAAGTTGAATTTTTCGCGATTTTCTAGGATGATCAGAGAGAAAACACATTTGAGAAGGCTCAGAATCATTCGAAAGTCTGTTTAATGATCATATTTCTCTATCTCTTTTACATGACATCGGAAACAAGAACAATACCGACGCTCTTGAACATCTAAAAGTGAATTATACGCATTATTACTTAATTCGTTTCTTTGCTTTTGTAGATGGCGATCCATTGCCTCGATGACAGTGCTGGCCTCATCAATCTTTATTATTCCCACATTGAGTCTCTCTGATTGTTGAGCTATTTCTCGTCTTTTATATAAACTCAGATATGTGTGAATAAGATCCAAATAATTTTTTGGTGTAACATAGGCACTACGACGGATTTTTTCTGTAAACATATCACAATAGAAATGAGTACTTTCATGTACCATTGCCATATATTCGACAATATCATTTGTATATTGATCCGACATGAATTTTAAATCGAGAAACAAAATATTCAGCTACAGCGTATAATGCTTGTTGAGCCCTACAGAGTACCATTTCATAAACCAATCGATTGCTGTATTATTAATTAATGCTGAAAAATTTCTTGCTCGATTTCGAAGTGTTTCACCAATGGGATTCATACATAGATTAATATGAAAATTAGTTGTACATTTTTTAACAAAATAATCCCAAACATTTCCTTTTGCTAATAGTCGACCATTGCTTCTTCTCTTATTTCTGATATAACGCCATCACGTTCCTGTAAAAATATTGAGTGCATTACAATTTTCAGAAAAAAAAATCACGAGGAAAGAACCCTAAGTTGCAAATTGTTTTCCAATGAAATTAGGTGGACTATATATGATTGATGACGCTGATTCCAAATATAAATATCGGAGCTGTCGTTAGTCTAAGGGATCAAATTCAGAATATTTTTCTGAATTAGTCATTTTGCAGAGAACACAAAACTGTCTAAGTTCCATAAATTTTAGTTTTTCAAAATATTATTGAACGGTGCTATGATTTTAAAAAGTATCCAGTTGAACATTTTTCATCAAAACCAGCGTAGCCACTCTTTTGGGAAATTTCACTACGCTGTTGATTTTTGTGTTGACAAAGCTGAAACTTATGCAACATAGACAGTTTTATGTTCTCTAAAAATGGCTAATTCAGAAAAATGTTCTGGATTTTGTTCCTGGTTTTCTGAAGATCCAGTTTTCAGAAAGACGGTCAACAAAAGTTTAAGGGTAATTTCGATGTTTATATTCCGAATTAGCGTCATCAATTACATAGAAAATAAACTGTGACAACGACAGAGGGCGGCTCTAACACGACTGGAAATCGTAAATATAACACCATGGTTGTTATCGGGTCCATGCGGACCCACACTCCATCTTTTTGTATGTAAGACTT